TGTCAACATGATCACACATAAGATGTTTCACATTCTCACTGGGGATTCGCTGGAGGTTACTGAAGGTGGCAGTTCAATTACAGCTGAAGGGAAAATATGATTTTTAAAAAGGATAAGTATCTATGAAATATCGATATTCGGAAATGACAAAGACCTTCATTTTCTTCTCATGTACCAATGCATACACTCAAATAAATATACATACATACGAGTATATATGCATATATATATATGTATATACTATATATACACATTTCTCTTATTCCTTTATTCATTTACTTAGAGATAATAAATACATGCATAACTTGATTTTTATATGTATGTATATGTATAGGCACATATGTACGCATAAACACATATATATATGTGTGAAATTTCACTTACGAGGCATGGTCGGGCAGGCTATAACTGACACTGCATTCAGATTCTCGTCTACCGCTGAGGCGCACCATCTGCCGCTCACTGTCTCCCTGTTTATCACTCCTCCTTCTCCCTCCATTTCGATTGTCTCCTCCACCCCTTCTTCGCCAACACATCCGCTCACGATTTCTCCATCGTGTCGGAAGGGAACACATTCACTGCCGTTCACTGGTGGCTGTTCACTTGGAGCTGAGGGAAATGTTTGAACTCAATTCTCTAAACGCTGTTATAAGGATTTACACAATGACTGACAGAAATTCGGAATTATATCTAAGACACTCTTATAATTCAAATACAAAAGATGTATTTTATTGGTGTCGTATATATCTTTGTCAGAAATACATGTATTTCTAACCAAGATATATTCGAAACTAGTCAAGTACTACCCAGGTAATGTGATGATATTCATTCCCATTCATACCTTTTCTACTTTAATCTTATAGCTTAGAGGATGAGTATGTCTAATACTGGCAATTTGGCTCAAATCCTAAAGAATCCTTATTTTGAAGCTATGTCAGAATATGTTCAAACTATTATGAAAATGTATTGAATATACACATTTATGTGTATATGTATGTATATACAAATATATACATTTATATAGAGAGATAAAGGGAATTTCTGTTTCACTTACTAGGGTTTATATACATACACACATCTCTATATATATGTGTATGTATAAAAATATATTCATTTATTACATTATAAATCTCATCCCATGCAATCATATCTATATACAATGTATGCGAGAATGTATCAGAAAAAAATGAGTAGTACTGGAGTATAATCCACTTACGATACACGGTTGGGCACGGAATAATAGATCGTATATTCTGGTAACTGTCTACTGCGGTTCCACTTCAATAGATTCCTTAGCATGACTTCAAATGGGTATGGGATTTGCTTTCAAAATCATAATTGCCACGGGCAAAACATCTATACATTACCAATATGTACATCGGTTTATGTAATGCTTTCCTACCTTCATACACAATCGGTCCTGAGTGTGGCCCTGGGGTTACTAACGGTGGCTGTTCAGTTACGGCTGAAACGGGAAAACGTTTTCTAATAGAAAGGACAAACATATCTCATACTAGCACTTTTGATACTTATTGGATCAAATAGAAAAGAATCAAGAAATTCCAATATGACTATGAACTTTACAAATCTATTTACACTCACACAACCATAAATCCGTATATACGATATATGCATTTACGGGTTAAGAAAATAAATGTATTTAAAGAATTACAACTTATCACTAACAAGGAAAGGTTAGGAATGCCATAATGAATAAGATATTCATATTCCTGTATACCTCCAAGGCAGATTTTCATAACACTTTTCTGTCATAGTTCAGTTGAAGCTCAGATTGGGAAATATACTAAACTGACTAAAAATAAATAATGATAAAAAGGTATTCATATCAAATAGACACTTTTATAGTAGTCACTGGCTGTTCAGCTAAAAAGTATAAAAAATATACACTTTAAATACTAATTTGCCTGTGGCTCCACTGCTCATGAGATTTTCCAAAATGATAAAAATCATTACAACTTCGTTCACAACTATCCACATATACAAACACAACATAACCACAAATTATAAATTTTACATTTACATAAACATCTAATTCAGCATGTATAAACAGTAGTGGAATGTGAATTTATAATATTCACTGGCAAGTGCAATTATGTCCCTGTGTGTCGATGTGTCAATGACAGTGCCTGGTCAAAACCATCAATGTCAACATGATTACACATAAAGAGGTTCACCTGGGGATTCCCTACAAATTACTGGAGGTGGCTGTTCATGACATGTTCATGTTCATGTTCATTTCCTAATATTAGGAAATGACAATCACCTTCACTTTCAAGTTACGTATACACATACACTCGTATATACATATATACATATACACATACTTATCTAGTTACATACCGATTCATAAATAATGCATGCATGAATGAATGAATGTATGCATATTTATGTTAATATCCATATCAAATTTATATGAACACACATAATTACATATACATATATAAACATATATATATATATATATACATACATATGAAAAATAAGAGATATTTCACTTACGAGGCATGGTCGGGCAGGCTATAACTGACACTGCATTCAGATTCTCGTCTACCGCTGAGGCGCACCATCTACCGCTCACTGTCTCCCTGTTTATCACTCCTCCTTCTCCCTCCATTTCGATTGTCTCCTCCATCCCTTCTTCGCCAACGCATCCACTCACGATTTCTCCATCATGTCGGAAGGGAACACAAGTTGTGGCGTTCACTGGTGGCTGTTCACTTGGAGCTGAGGGTAAGGTATACAGTTCATTATCTAAACACAAAAGGACAAATGCTTAAATTCGGGTTCATATCTAACTCTTTTAGGCTTATAGCTTATAGGAAAACGATTGTCTAATACTGGCCTTTTTTATCAAATGCTATGGAATGTTTATCATAAAGTTTTATCAGAAAATGTTCAAAGTATTATGAAATGACATTGACAACAAATATATATACACACATGAATATACATATATATAATATATATATATATATATATATATATATATATATATATATATATATATATTATATCTTCGTCAGAGGAAGATATAATCGAAACCGGTCAAATACATCTCTTGTATTATGAAGATATTCGTTCTCATTCATACCTTTCCACATTTGTCCACATGAATACGGTTGTATATATATATATATATATATATATATATATATATATATATATATATATATATATATATATATATATATATATTATATATATATATATATATATATATATATATATATAATATATATATATATATATATATATCATATATATATGTTATGTGAATTTATAGCATTCACAGGTATGCATTTATGTCCGTATGTCGAGGAGTGTCACTGACAGTACATGGTCAAAACCACCAATGTCAACATGATCACATAAGAGGTTCACATTCTCACCTGGGGATTCGCTGGAGGTTACTGAAGGTGCAGTTCAATTAGCTGAAGGGGAAAATATGATTTTTAAAAAGGATAAGTATCTATGAAATATCGATATTCGAATGACAAGACCTTCATTTTCTTCTCATGTACCAATGCATACACTCAAATAAATATACATACATACGAGTATATATGCATATATATATATGTATAAACGATATATACACATTTCTCTTATTCCTTTATTCATTTACTTAGAGATAATAAATACATGCATAACTTGATTTTTATATGTATGTATATGTATAGGCACATATGTACGCACACACACACATATATATGTGTGAAATTTCACTTACGAGCATGGTCGGGCAGGCTATAACTGACACTGCATTCAGATTCTCGTCTACCGCTGAGCGCCACCATCTGCCGCACTGTCTCCCTGTTTATCACTCCTCCTTCTCCCTCCATTTCGATTCTCCTCCATCCCTTCTTCGCCAACGCATGATTTCTCCATCATGTCGGAGGGAACACAAGTTGTGCGTTCACACTTGGAGCTGGGGTAAGGTATACAGTTCATCTATCTAAACACAAGGACAATGCTTAAATTCGGGTTCATATCTAACTCTTTTAGGCTTATAGCTTATAGGAAAACGATTGTCTAATACTGGCCTTTTTTATCAAATGCTATGGAATGTTTATCATAAAGTTTTATCAGAAAATGTTCAAAGTATTATGAAATGACATTGACAACAACATATATATACCACATGAATATACATATATATATATATATATATATATTATATATATATATATATATATATATATATATATATATATTATATCTTCGTCAGAGGAAGATATAATCGAAACGGTCAAATACATCTCTGTATGTGAAGATATTCGTTCTCATTCATACCTTTCCATTTGTCCACATGAATACGGTATATATATATATTATATATATATATATATATATATATATATATATATATATATATATATATATATATATATATATATATATATATATCAGCATACAGTACTGGGATGTGAATTTATAGCATTCACAGGTAAGTGCATTTATGTCCGTATGTGTCGAGGAGTGTCACTGACAGTACATGGTCAAAACCACCAATGTCAACATGATCACACATAAGAGGTTCACATTCTCACCTGGGGATTCGCTGGAGGTTACTGAAGGTGGCAGTTCAATTACAGCTGAAGGGGAAAATATGATTTTTAAAAAGGATAAGTATCTATGAAATATCGATATTCGGAAATGACAAAGACCTTCATTTTCTTCTCATGTACCAATGCATACACTCAAATAAATATACATACATACGAGTATATATGCATATATATATGTATAAACTATATATACACATTTCTCTTATTCCTTTATTCATTTACTTAGAGATAATAAATACATGCATAACTTGATTTTTATATGTATGTATATGTATAGGCACATATGTACGCACAAACACACATATATATGTGTGAAATTTCACTTACGAGGCATGGTCGGGCAGGCTATAACTGACACTGCATTCAGATTCTCGTCTACCGCTGAGGCGCACCATCTGCCGCTCACTGTCTCCCTGTTTATCACTCCTCCTTCTCCCTCCATTTCGATTGTCTCCTCCACCCCTTCTTCGCCAACACATCCGCTCACGATTTCTCCATCGTGTCGGAAGGGAACACATTCACTGCCGTTCACTGGTGGCTGTTCACTTGGAGCTGAGGGAAATGTGTGAACTCAATTCTCTAAACGCTGTTATAAGGATTTACACAATGACTGACAGAAATTCGGAATTATATCTAAGACACTCTTATAATTCAAATACAAAAGATGTATCTTATTGGTGTCGAATATATCTTTGTCAGAAATACATGTATTTCTAACCAAGATATATTCGAAACTAGTCAAGTACTACCCATGTAATGTGATGATATTCATTCCCATTCATAGCTTAGAGGATGATTATGTCTAATACTGGCAATTTGGCTCAAATCCTAAAGAATCCTTATTTTGAAGTTATATCAGAATATGTTCAAACTATTATGAAAATGTATTGAATATATACATTTATGTATATATGTATGTATATACAAATATATACATATATAGATAGATAAAGGGAATTTCTGTCATGTGGATGTATAAAAATATATTCATTTATTAAATTATAAATCTCATCGCATGCGATCGTATCTATATACAATGTATGCGCGAATGTATCAGAAAAAAATGAGTAGTACTGGAGTATAATCCACTTACGATACACGGTTGGGCACGGAATAATAGATCGTATATTCTGGTAACTGTCTACTGCGGTTCCACTTCAATAGATTCCTTAGCATGACTTCAAATGGGTGTGGGATTCGCTTTCAAAATCATAATTGCCACGGGCAAAACATCTATACATTACCAATATATACATGGGTTCACGTAATGCTTTCCTACCTTCATACACAATCGGTCCTGAGTGTGGCCCTGGGGTTACTAACGGTGGCTGTTCAGTTACTGCTGAAACGGGAAAACGTTTTCTAATAGAAAGGACAGACATATCTCATACTAGCACTTTTGATACTTATTGGATCAAATAGAAAAGAATCAAGAAATTCCAATATGACTATGAACTTTACAAATCTATTTACTCACACAACCATAAATCCGTATATACGATATATGCATTTACGGGTTAAGAAAATAAGTGTATTTAAAGAATTACAACTTATCACTAACAAGGAAAGGTTAGGAATGCCATAATGAATAAGATATTCATATTCCTGTATACCTCCAAGGCAGATTTTCATAACACTTTTCTGTCATAGTTCAGTTGAAGCTCAGATTGGGAAATATACTAAACTGACTAAAAATAAATAATGATAAAAAGGTATTCATATCAAATAGACACTTTTATAGTAGTCACTGGCTGTTCAGCTAAAAAGTATAAAAAATATACACTTTAAAAACTAATTTGCCTGTGGCTCCACTGATCATGAGATATTCCAAAATGATAAAAATAATTAAAACTTCGTTCACAACTATCAACGTATACAAACACAACATAACCACAAATATAAATTTTACATTTATATAGATATCTAATTCAGCATGTATAAACAATAGTGGAATGTGAATTTATAATATTCACTGGCAAATGCAATTATGTCCCTGTGTGTCGATGTGTCAATGACAGTGCCTGGTCAAAACCATCAATGTCAACATGATTACACATAAAGAGGTTCACCTGGGGATTCCCTACAAATTACTGGAGGTGGCTTTAAATGACATAAAGATATCAAGAAATGATAACCACCTTCACTTTCAAGTTACGTATACACATACACTCGTGTATACATATATACACATATACACATACTTATCTAGTTACATACCGATTCAAAAAATAATGCATGCATGAATGAATGAATGTATGAATATGTATGTTTATATCCATATCAAATCTATATGAACACACACACAATTACATATACATATATATACATATATACATATACATACATATGAAAAATAAGAGATATTTCACTTACGAGGCATGGTCGGGCAGGCTATAATTGACACTGCATTCAGATTCTCGTCTACCGCTGAGGCGCACCATCTACCGCTCACTGTCTCCCTGTTTATCACTCCTCCTTCTCCCTCCATTTCGATGTCTCCTCCATCCCTTCTTCGCCAACGCATCCACTCACGATTTCTCCATCATGTTGGAAGGGAACACATGCGGTGGTGTTCACTGGTGGCTGTTCACTTGGAGCTGAGGGTAAGGTATACAGTTCATTATCTAAACACAAAAGGACAAATGCTTAAATTTGGGTTCATATCTAACTCTTTTAAGCTTATAGCTTATAGGAAAACGATTGTCTAATATTGGCATTTTTTATCAAATGCTATGGAATGTTTATCATAAAGTTTTATCAGAAAATGTTTCAAGCATTATGAAATGACATTGACAACAAATATATATACACACATGAATATATATATATATCAGCATACAGTACTGGGATGTGAATTTATAGTATTCACAGGTAAGTGCATTTATGTCCGTATGTGTCGAGAAGTGTCACTGACAGTACATGGTCAAAACAATGTCAACATGATCACACATAAGAGGTTCACATTCTCACCTGGGGATTCGCTGGAGGTTACTGAAGGTGGCAGTTCAATTACAGCTGAAAGGGAAAATATGATTTTCAAAAGGATAAGTATCTATGAACAATAAAGATATTCGGAAATGACATAGACCTTCATTTTCTTCTCACGTACCAATGCACACACTCAAATAAATATACATGTCAACATGATCACACATGAGGTTCACATTCTCACCTGGGGATTCACTGGAACTTATTGAAGGTAACACTCCTTTAAGTTTATAGCTTATCGGAAAACAATTATGCTTAATAATAGCATTTTCTCTCAAATCCTATAGAATCCTTATCATTCAGTTTTATCAGAAAATTCTCAAAGTATTATGAAATGACATTGAGAACAAATGTATATATACACATGAATATAATAAATATACACTTATACAAATATATATATATATATATATATATTATATATTATATATATATATATACATATATATATATATATATATATATATATATATATAATATATATATATATATATATATATATATGTACAAACACAAACAAGCAGTTTACATTTTCATCATTCCTGACTATATCACTCCCATGTTCAAAATAAACTATTCGTTTACTAAATCAAAATTCACAAACTTATTGTTGGCAGTCTTCTCTGTTTACACATGTTTGTGTATACATAAAGATACTGACACAAATGCATACAATTTGCATTCATGTGAATATGCGCCTATGAGAACTGGGTTAAAAAAAGGTTCACTGCCTCACCTGTGGCCGTAGTGGCAGCGCCCACTGGTGGTTCTTCGGGCGGAGCTGGGGAGGAAACATCCACTTTCGACAGATATCAAAATAATAAAAAACAAGAGCTGCCCAAGATGAACAATTACCTTGAAAATTATATTCTACGATAATTTTTGGATTTTTTGCTATGAGAATAAAACTTATACTCTAACATACATAATAACAATGTATATAAAGGCACATCTACAATAGCATACATATAGCTATATACATTGTATATATGTTTTTTCTTTTCTTTCTCTCCCCTTCTGTCACAGCTGAGGGGAAGATCAATATTTCCTGATAAACAAACATGACAACTATTATCTCTAAACCTACCACTCTAGGAAGTAGGATCATGTTACAAAAATTGCACAATCAACAATTTAAATAACAATTATACATTAACTTATAAAGACAAATATATAGCAATGAACTTTGCATTTTGTCAATTTTCCGTCACTTACGAGCCATTTCCGGACACCTTATAATCTTCATGGCATTCAAATTCTCGTCCACTTTGGAGACGCACCATCTGTAGCTCAGGGTCAACTTAAACTTCACTCCTCCCTCTCCCACCAACTCAAATGTCTCCACCTTCCCTTCCTCGCCGACGCATCCGCTCACGATTTCCTTTCCGTATCGGAAGGGAACGCACTGCTCCACTGCAAGTCCAAAGGGGCGATGAGAAACGAAAACGACTGATATACACACACGCGCTTGCACACATACACACACACTAAAAAAACATGCATACATACTTATGTAAACATATACATACTTATATATACATACACATTTATATTTACATATGTATATATGTACATGAATATGTTTATGTACATTAATATGTATATGTATATATACGTACATATATATAGATATATCTGTATACACATACATAAATATATATATATATATGCATGAGTATGTACGCATGGGTATAAGTATGGGTATGGGTATGCGTATGCATGTGTGTGTGTCAAAGAGAAAAAATGCATAACTTGGATTCTAATTCACTTACTTGGGCACTGTATAACTGATACGATATCCATATTCTTGTCTACTTCTGCGGCGCACCATTTGCCTTTCACTGTCCAGCTGTCTGTCACTCCTCCTTCTCTCTCCACCTCAATTACCTCCCACTTCCCTTCCTCGCCGATGCATTCGCTCACAATTTCCCCTCCGTATCGGAAAGGAACACACAGTCCGGTCACTGCCTCACCGGTAGGCGTAGTGGCGGCGCCCATGGGTGGCACTTTAGGGGAGGAAACATCAGCTTTTGACAGATATGAAAATAATAAAAACATGAGCTGCCCAAGATGAACAATTACCTTGAAAATTATATTCTACGATAATGTTTGGATTTTTTGCTATGAGAATAAAACTTATACTCTAACATACATAATAACAATGTATATAAAGGCACATCTACACTAGCATACATATAGCTATATATATTATATAGATATTTTTTCTTTTCTTTCTCTCCCCTTCTGTCACAGCTGAGGGGAAGATCAATATTTCCTGATAAACAAACATGACAATTATTTTCTCTAACCCTACCACTTTAGGAAGTAGGATCATGTAACAGAAATTGCATAATCAACAATTTAAATAACAATTATACATTAACTTATAAAGACATAAATATAAAGCAATGAACTTTGCATTTTGTCTATTTTCCGTCACTTACGAGCCATTTCCGGACACCTTATAATCTTCATGGCATTCAAATTCTCGTCCACTTCGGAGACGCACCATCTGTAGCTCAGGGTCAACTTAAACTTCACTCCTCCCTCTCCCACCAACTCAAATGTCTCCTCCTTCCCTTCCTCGCCAAGGCATCCGCTCACGATTTCCTCTCCGTAGCGGAAGGGAACGCACCCACTACTTTCTGAAGGTGGCTCTTCCGTTTCAGCTGAGGCTGGGAAAAGGATTTCATTTTATATTACATAGCGAAAAAAATAAATGTGTTTTTGTATTCAATATATTCCTTTTTACATCAAAATGACATGGGAATCATCTTCAAATGCAGAGATCTAGAGACTACTGTAATGTATACATGGGTTTACGTAATGCTTTCCTACCTTCATACTCATATGTACTAGTGGTCTCTAGCGGTGATTCTGTTACGACTGAAAGGGTAAAACGCATTCTAATAAAAAAGGACAAACATATCTGAAACTGGCATTTTTCATCCCTTTAAATCAAACAGAAAAATATCGAGAAGGTCGGATATGATCATGAACACAAGCGGTATCATCAAAGTTTTGAAAAAAAAATAAACAAATAAATAAATAAGTAAATAAAATAACGAAGAGCACTGTATGTTTCTTAATTCAAAATGCTATTATAAAGGCACAATTATTTAACATTATATGAAACCCACACATATATAAATATTATTTCCTTGTTTCCCTTTTTTTCCCTCTACCTCCTGCCACAAATGAGGGAGAAAAGATGAATATTTCTTAATATAACATACAACATACACTCATTCATAAAATTACATAATCAACAACACCTTTACTATTATACTTTCACTTACAAAGAAACATACAAAGCAATAATCTACACATTTAGCCACATGTCCGTCACTTACAAGAAATTTCCGGACAGCTCATAGCCTTCATGACATTCATATCCTCGTCCACCTCTGCAGCGCACCACTGGCCGCCCACGCAGCCCCTCATGAGCATCCCTTAGTCCCTGGCGTAATAGTGTGGGCAATGATTATATGTATGTATATGTTTATATGCATATTTATGTATGTGTGTTTATGTGTATTGTGTGTTTTAGTGTATGTTTAAATGTATGTTTATATGTGTGCATATGCGTGCGTGTGTGTGTATGACTTGCATTCCAATTAACTTACACAGTATAATGGTTACGGGATTCAGATTCTCGTCTACTTCTGAGGCGCACCATCTGCCTTTCACTGTCCACCAGGTTATCACTCCTCCTTCTCCCTCCGTCTTAATTATCTCCTCCTTCCCTTGCTCGCCCACGCATCCGCTCACGATTTCGTCTCCGTATCGGAAGGGAACGCACAAGCTTTCTGGAGGTGGCGGTTCCGTTTCAGCTGAGGGTAGGAAAAGGATTGCATCTTTTAACAAATAACGAAAGACAACGAGAAATAAAAGTGTGGTTTTATATTCAACTAGAAGCACTGAGAGAGCGCATACCTCCGTCAAAACTATAAGGTTTATGATGCAATAAAATCACATCTTTCTCAAGTACACTGCTGTCAGCCATAAGAATAACCTTTTTGGCAGGTGTAATAAAGATAATTGAAATAATAATACTTGGCAATTGGGGTACTGATAAAAATCATTTTTAAAAATCCTGGTACCGGATTATGATCATGACATCTACGTTAGGCTACGACACACCTCCGGTAAAAAAATGATAAAAATCTGTTCATAACCTTTCCAGTTATCCTACAAACCAATGAACAAAGAAAACCAATGCTACCAAAAAACAACCTCCATGGTAATAAATTCCTTTTCATAACATCAAAGAGCAAGGGAATCGCCTTCAAAATCATAATTGCTTTCGGTGAATGAACTAGAGATTACCGACGTCTACATGGGCTTACGTAATGTTTTCCTACCTTCATACTCAGGCTTTTTCGGTACTGCACGAGACTCAAATGGATTTATGGGAGTGGTCTCTGGCGGTGGCTCTTCAGTTACGGCTGAAAGGGAAAATATGATTTTTGAAAGACTAAAAAAGTCTCTGAGATATTAAGATATTCGGAAATCAGAATGACCTTCATTTTTGAGTTACGTAAAAACATTCACTATATATATATGTATAAATATACACATATCAATATATATAAACATTCATAAATAATGCATGCAGGAATGAATGTACGTATGAATAGGTAAGTATATATGCATATCAAACATACATGTACACACACACACACACACACACATATATATATATATATATATTATATATATATATATATATATATATATATATATATATATATATATATATATATACACTAATACATGCATAAATATTATACATACATATACATACATATATATATATACATATATATGCTTATACATATATACATATATATATATATGTACATATCCATATATATAAATATATGTACATATACATATATACAAATATATATATACATGTATATACTTACATATACATATATATATAGCATATATACATATAAATATATATATATATATATATATATATATATATATATATATATATATATATATATATATATATATATATATATATATATATATATATATATATATATTATATATATATATATATATATATATATATATATATATATAAATATATATATATATATATATATATATATATATATATATATATATATATATTATATATATATAAAACATGCATAAATATATTATACATACATTACATATATATATAATATATATATATATATATATATATATATATATATATATATATATATATATATATATATATATATATATATATATATATAATATATATATATATATATATATATATATATATATATATATATATATATATACATATATATTTATACATATATATATATATATAGATATACACATACATATATATATAAATAATGTACATATACATATGTACAAATATATATATACATGTAATATACTACATATACATATACATATATATATGCATATATATATACAATATAATATATATATATATATATATATATATATATATATATATATATATATATATATATATATATATATATATATATATATATATATATATATACATACATATATATATACACATATATATACTATATATATATAAATATACATATATACAAAATATATATATATAATATATATGCTTATATATATATACATATAAACATATGTACATATATATACATATAAATATATATACATATATATACATATGAAAAATTCTCTCTATGTCACACATAATTGATATATATGCTTTCATTTATTCATTTCCTATCATATACGAACATCAATAAGGAAGAATTCCAATATTTCACTTACGAAGTATGGTCGGGCAGGCTATAACTGACACTGCATTCAGGTTCTCGTCTACCTCTGAGGCGCACCATCTACCGCTCACTGTCTCCCTGTTTATCACTCCTCCTTCTCCCTCCATTTCGATTGTCTCCTCCACCCCTTCTTCGCCAACACATCCGCTCACGATTTCTCCATCATGTCGGAAGGGAACACATGCAGTGGCGTTCATTGGTGGCTGTTCAGTTGGAGCTGAGGGTAAGGTATACAGTTCATTATCTAAACACAAAAAGACGAATGCTAAAATTCGGGTTCATATCTAAGACACTCTTTTAAGCTTATAGTTCACTGATGGCTGTCCAGTTGGAGCTAAAGGAAATGTGTGAACTCAATTCTCTCAACGTCGTTATAAGGATTTACTCAATGACCGACAGAAATTCGGATTTATATCTAAGACACTCCTATAATTTATGCTGACAAATGCAGAAAAGGTATGAATGATGTCTTTCAAATACAAGAGATGTATTTTATCGGTGTCGAATATATCTCCGTCAGAAATACATGTACTTCTAACCAATATATATTTATTATGAGTTTACGTAATGCTTTCCTACCTTCATACACAATCGGTCCTAAGTGTGGCCCTGGGGTCACTAACGGTGGCTGTTCAGTTACGGCTGAAACGGGAAAACGTTTTCTAATAGAATACTTGCACTTTTCATACTAATTGGATCAAATAGAAAACAATCCAATATGACTATGAACTTTACAAACCTATTTACACTCACACAGCCATAAATCCGTATATACAATATATTGTTATGCAGCTAAAGAAAATAAGTGTATTTAAAGAACTACAACTCATCACTAACAAGGAAAGGTTAGGAATGCTATAATGAATAAGATATTCATATTCCTGTATAGGCAGATTTTTTCATAACAGTTTTCTGTCTGTAATAGTTCAGTAGAAGCTCAGATTGGAAATGTATTAAACTGACTAAAAACAATGACAAAAAGGTATTCATATGAAATACACTTATAATAGTCACTGGCTGTTCAGCTACAAAGTATAAAAAACTATACACTTTAAATAATCAAGACTAATTTGCCTGTGGCTCCACTGCTCATGAGATATTCCAAAATGATAAAAATCGTTCACAACAATCCACGTATACAAACATAACATAACCACAAATATAAATTTTACATCTATATAGACATTTAATTCAGCATATATAAACAGTAGTGGAATGTGTATTTATAGTATTCACTGGCAAGTGCATTTATGTTCCTGTGTCGATGTGTCACTGACAGTGCCTGTCAAAACCATCAATGTGAACATGATTACACATAAAGAGGTTCACCTAGGGATTCCATAGAAGTTACTGGAGGTGGCTGTTCATGATATAAAGATATTCGGAAATGACAATGACCTTCACTTTCAAGTTACCTGTACACATCATCATCAGGAGCTATCGCCGACGGGGGCGTATAGCCGCGTCCACCTTTTGGGATCCCTCATGGCAAGCCGCCAGGCAGGGACTCGGCCCATCTCAAGCTCTTCCCGACAGGTTTGATTGATCTGCCCAAGCCACAACCTCCTAGGTCGTCCCACAGGCCTCCTCCACCCAGGGAACAGAGATGAGCAGGATCGGCCTGTGGAAAGCGAGCCAGGTGGCCATATAGCCTGACTTGGCGATCCCGGATTGTGCAGGTAACAGGTCCTGCGCCAGTCTCACGGTGCAGCCGTTGGTTAGACACATGGTCCTGCTAACAGTACCCCATGATCCGGCGCAAGGACCTAGTACAAAAGGCATCAAGACGAGACTCCAAGGCACTGGATAATGTCCAGGTTTCACTACCGTAGAGCAAAACTGGCATTATCAGGGCCCTGAAAACCCGTAGCTTGACCTTCTGCACAGGTACCGGCACCTCCAAATACTCTTGTCGAGAGACTTCATGACCCCTGCTGCCAGGCCAATCCGTCTGCTGACTTTCTGGTCTGACAGCCCAGAGTTATGAACTGCACTACCAAGGTATGTAAATCTCTCTGTGACTTCAATGTCCTCACCGCAAGCGCGTACTGACTGAACAGGTTCTCCTAGCAAGTCCCCAAAGTCCTGGATCTTGGTCTTGGTCCAGGAGACCTCTAGACCCAAGGGCTTCGCTTCATTACTAAATGCATCGAGATCCACCACTAGGGTTTCCAAAGACTCAGATAGAATACCAACATCATCGGCAAAGTCAAGGTCTGTAACCTTAATATTACCAAGTGTTGCTCCACAGTGACTTTGAACAGTAGCTCTGCCTAGTATCCAGTCCATGCAAGTGTTGAAAAGTGTTCTTTCCTGTCAGTTCAGGAGTGAGGCAAGAACACAGCCTTACCTCACTCCTGAACTGACAGGAAAGAAGCTCGACAGGCCCCCACCACACTTTACAGCACTTTCAGTACCAGTATATAGGTTTGCTATTAATTCAATAATTCTTGTTGGAATTCCTCTCAGTCTCAGGATCTCCCAGAGTGATTCCCAATGCACTGTATCGAACGCCTTCTTAAGGTAGATGTTGGCTGCAAGCAGCCCATGTCCAAATTCACGACGGCGCTCTACAATGACTCGGAGAGCAAGGATGCGGTCTATTGTGGACTTACCAGGAGTGAATCCAGATTGCTCTGACTCTGATGCCTTAGTAGATGGTCTCTGATATGCCTCAGAAATTGGTTGTGACTACCCTCCGAGTTCACTTCAAAACTCCCCAGCGGCCCAATGACCACCCTAGGGTGCTTCATCTGAACAGGCTGAAGGAGAGGGAGTGTGCTTGGAGGTTTGCTGAGACAATCTCTGATTGGTTCACTTGACAATCTGACGGAACCTTGCCTGGTACATTGAGCAGCGTGATGCCGTGATGATTGCTGCAGTCCCATCAGTCCCCCTTCCCCTTCCAGAGAGGGATTACCACACCCCTCAACAGGTCAGGGGGAATGGTCCTGGACTGCCAGATGGCAGCCAGGACAGCATGTAATCCCTGCACCATAGGTTCACTACCAGCCTCTAACAGTTCAGCTGGGATGCCACAAATACCCGCTGCTTTACCACTCTTCAGCTTGGAGATCGCCTCCCTAACTTCTGTTAGGGTGGGTCTGGCAGCGGAATCACGGCACTACCCACATCCAAGTTAACTGTTGGAGGGTCAACCTGATACAACTGCTCAAAGTACTCAGCCCAACGCTCCCGCACCGCAACAGGATCTGAGATAATCTGGCCACCTACTAAGTGAACTGCAGTCACCTGGGAAGAGGGCTTGGAATTCAGTTTTCTCAGGGCTTGGTATGCAGGACGAAAGTCATTTACTAAGAAATGGCCTTCGACCTCCTCAGCAAGACTCCTAATAAACTTCCTTATCCCTTCTTAACACAGACAGAGTTCTGCGCACCTGAGAACGGTGCAAATCCTGGTCCCCTGCAAGACGAGCCGCACGGTAAGCATCTGTGGATTCCAGTGTCTCCTGAGAGATTAAATTCTGTCTTGATCTCAGGCGTTCTCCAATCGATTCTTGGGCTGCATCAAACGTTTTGCGCTTGAAGGTGTCCTACAGAAGAACAGGGTCTATCAGATTGTCAAGTGAACCGATCAGAGATTGTCTCAGCAAACCTCCTAGCACACTCCCTCTCCTTCAGCCTGTTCAGATGAAACACCCTAGGGTGGTCATTGGGCTGCTGGGGAGTATTGATGTGAACCCGGAGGGTAGTCACAACCACAGAAATCGGCACTCCTATACATCCTGCAGTTCTGGAGGATCCTCCAACGAATGCTAACGAGAATGTGGTCGATCTCCTTGGCTGCATTACCCGCATGGCTGTACAATGTCCAACGATGTGGGTCTGGGTGCTGGTACCAGGAGCAAAATCCCGGAAAAGGAGGGAATTCTTGCTGCCGGTATCAACTCCCGAACCATGAGGACCGACTGACATCTCATAGCCAGCTCGATCACAGCCAGATACCGCATTGAAGTCACCCAGAACAATACGAATATCTCGCCGGGGACAACTGTCTGCCACAGACACATGTTTGGTGTAGAACATCTCTTTCACGTCAAGTTTACAAACATTGGTAGGAGCGTACACAGCAATAAGAGACATGAAGCCAAAAGACAGCTTCAGTCTCACTACCATTATATGCTCACCGAGGGCCGGAGCCTACCAGAGACAGCTATGGCTACTCTCTGAAGATGGTGACCGATCATCCTGATGCAGAGAGCGGACGTTCCAGCCCCCCCACCCTGACTTCCCGCCTGAGGTTAACCCTCGGGCAGTCGCTCCAGGTGGACGCCACCTCTGCCACCCCCGCCGACGCTGCCCCACCTCAAAGGCGGCAGGCTGCGGAACCCATCATCCACCTGTGGGGTTCCTTAGGGCTTCATATCGGGCTGGCGGCTACCAGAATGCAGGCGGGACAAGGAGCTCCCACTCCAATCCCGCGCCCCAGCAGCCACCTTCCCAATGGGGCCCGCAGCCCACCTCTCTTGCTGGGTAGGAGGGACGTTTTCCCTCCCCCCAGCATTACCGTTTATAGCAAGCACTGCCAGTGGGGTATTCTCTGGGGGGAGGAGGACTGGCAAGGCCCACCTCCCCCGAGCCTCCCATTGACCCCAGGGGGCTTAGGGGCAGGAGTTAGTACAGGGCCAGATCATGTCCACATGCCGGTGGGCCATGACCCTGTACCTCTGGGGCCTCCTGCTGCTCCGAGATCCCCTACAATTCAGCCTGGGACTGCAAGGTGCCAGTTTCCATAGGTGGCCACGAGGAGGCACTGCAGACGTCTTGATGATGGAGAGGCTATGCACTGGCAAGGGAGACTTACGCAGCGCTGCTCCCTTTTTCGCACAAGCCTAGCCAGCGGTGGCAGCTGCAAGCGAGAAGGCATGCAAGCGCTTGACACTATCTAGGCTACCACATTGCTTCACACCACCCTGCGCATGAAGTAGGGTGGTGTATATGTATACTCTTGTGTATACATATATACACATATATATACATTTTTATCTAGTTACATACCAATTCATAAATAATGCATGCATGAATGAATGAATATATGCATATTTATGTTTATATCCATATCAAATATATATGAACACACACAATTACATATACCTATATAAATATATAAATATACATATATATGAAAAATAGATATTTCACTTACGAGGCATGGTCGGGCAGGGTATAACTGACACTGCATTCAGATTCTCGTCTACCGCTGAGGCGCACCATCTACCGCTCACTGTCTCCCTGTTTATCACTCCTCCTTCTCCCTCCATTTCGATTGTCTCCTCCATCCCTTCTTCGCCAACGCATCCACTCACGATTTCTCCATTGTGTCGGAAGGGAACACATGCTGTGGCGTTCACTGGTGGCTGTTCACTTGGAGCTGAGGGTAAGGTATACAGTTCATTATCTAAACACAAAAGGACAAATGCTTAAATTCGGGTTAATATCTAACTCTTTTAAGCTTATAGCTTATAGGAAAACGATTATGCTTAATAATAGCATTTTCTCTCAAATCCTATAGAATCCTTATCATTCAGTTTTATCAGAAAAATTTCAAAGTATTATGAAATGACGTTGAGAACAAATATATATATATACACATGAATATAATAAATATACGAGTATATATATATATATATTATATATATATATATATATATATATATATATATATATATATATATATATATATATATATATATATATATATATATATATATATATATATATATATATATATATATATATATGTACAAACACAAACACGCAGTTTACATTTTCATCATTCCTGACTATATCACTCCCATGTTCAAAATAAACTATTCGTTTTCTAAATCAAAATTCACGAACTTATTGTTGGTTGTCTTCTCTGTTTACACATGTTTATTTGATAAACAAACATGACAACTATTATCTCTAAACCTACCACTCTAGGAAGTAGGATCATGTTACAGAAATTGCACAATCAACAATTTAAATAACAATTATACATTAACTTATAAAGACAAATATAAAGCAATGAACTTTGCATTTTGTCAATTTTCCGTCACTTACGAGCAAATTCCGGACACGTTATAATCTTCCTGGCATTCAAATTCTCGTCCACTTCGGAGACGCACCATCTGTGGCTCTGGGTCAACTTAAACTTCACTCCTCCCTCTCCCACCAACTCAAATGTCTCCTCCTTCCCTTCCTGGCCAAGGCATCCGCTCACAATTTCCTCTCCGTAGCGGAAGGGAACGCACCCACTACTTTCTGAAGGTGGCTCTTCAGTTTCAGCTGAGGCTGGGAAAAGGATTTCATTTTATATTACATAGTGAAAAAAATAAATGTGTTTTTGTATTCAATATATTCCTTTTTACATCAAAATGACATGGGAATCATCTTCAAATTCAGAGATGTCGCGGCCGAAAGATCTACAGACTACTGTAATGTATACAAGGGTTTACGTAATGCTTTCCTACCTTCATACTCATATGTACTAGTGGTCTCTAGCGGTGATTCTGTTACATCTGAAAGGGTAAAACGCATTCTAATAAAAAAGGACAAACATATCTGAAACTGGCATTTTTCATACCTTTAAATCAAACAGAAAAATATCGAGAAGGTCGGATATGATCATGAACACAAGCGGTATCATCAAAGTTTTGAAAAAAAAAAAAATAAAAATAAAAATAAATAAATAATAAATAAAATAAAATAAAGAGCACTGTATGTTTCTTAATTCAAAATGCTATTAGAAAGGCACATACACTTCTCTTATTTAACATTATATGAAACCCACACATATATAGATATTATTTCCTTGTTTCCCTTTTTTCCCTCTACCTCCTGCCACAACTGAGGGAGAAAAGACAAATATTTGTTGATATAACATAAAACATACACTCATTTATAAAATTACGTAATCAACAACACCTACCGATTCATAAATAATGCATGCATGAATGAATGAATATGCATATGTATGTTTATATCTATATCAAATATATATAGACACACACAATTACATATACATATATACATATACATACATATGAAAAATAATAGATATTTCACTTACGAGACATGGTCGGGCAGGCTATAACTGACACTGCATTCAGATTCTCGTCTACCGCTGAGGCGCACCATCTACCGCTCACTGTCTCCCTGTTTATCACTCCTCCTTCTCCCTCCATTTCGATTGTCTCCTCCACCCCTTCTTTGCCAACACATCCACTCACGATTTCTCCATCGTGTCGGAAGGGAACACATGCTGTGGCGTTCACTGGTGGCTGTTCACTTGGAGCTGAGGGTAAGGTATACAGTTTATTATCTAAACACAAAAGGACAAATGCTTAAATTCGGGTTCATATCTAACTCTTTTAAGCTTATAGCTTATAGGAAAACGATTGTCTAATACTGGCATTTTTTATCAAATGCTATGGAATGCTTATCATAAAGTTTTATCAGAAAATGTTCAAAGTATTATGAAATGACATTGACAACAAATATATATACACACATGAATATATATATACCAGCATACAGTACTGGGATGTGAATTTATAGTATTCACAGGAAAGTGCATTTATGTCACTGATAGTACATGGTCAAAACCTCCAATGTCAACATTATTACACATAAGAGGTTTACATTCTCACCTGGGGATTCGCTGGAAGTTACTGAAGGTGGCAGTTCAATTACAGCTGAAAGGGAAAATATGATTTTTAAAAAGGATAAGTATCTATGAAGTATCAAGATATTCGGAAATGACAAAGACCTTCATTTTCCTCTCACGAAAAATGCACACACTTAAATAAATAGACATGCATACGAGTATATAAGCATATATGTGTATATATTATATATATATATACATATTTCTCTTATTCCTTTATTCATTTACTTATAGAAAATAAACAGGTGCATAAATAGATGTTTATATGTATATGTATAGGCCCATATATATATATATATATATATATATATATATATATATATATATATATATATTATATATATATATATATATATATATATATATATATATAAATCTCACTATACAAGGCATGAATGGTTGGGCATGCTATAACTGGACACTGCATTCAAATTCTCGTCTACGCTGAGGCGCACCATCTGCCGCTCACTGTCTCCCTGTTTTTATCACTCCTCCTTCTCCCTCCATTTCAAATTGTCTCTCCATCCCCTTTCTCGCCAACGCATCCACTCACGATTTCTCCATCGTGTTGGAAGGAAACACATTGCATGTGGCGTTCACTGGTGGCTGTTCACTTGGAAACTGAGGGTAAGGTATAGTTTATTATCTTAAACACAAAAGGACAAATGCTATAATTGGGGTTCATAATCTAACTCTTTTAAGCTTTATAGCTTATAGGAAAAAACGATTGTCTATATTGGCATTTTTTATCAAATGCTATGGAATGTTTCTCATAAAGTTTTATCAGAAAATGTTCAAAGTATTATGATAATGACATTATGACATTTATATATACACACATATCGTAATTATACACATATATTATATATGTATATATATATATATAGATATATATATATATATAANCACTTTCTTCTCTTCTATCTCCCCTCCTTTTTTCCCCCCCTCTTTAGCTTTCTCTAAATCATTTCACTATACAATCATTCTGTACTTCACTTCTATCACGGTCAGGATTGTTTGGCTTGACCTACGCTGTCGTCCTTTTTAATCACTCTCTCAATACTCTCTTCTATCACTCTCACATCAAATGTGTGTGGTACTTCACACACTCACATTCATCACCATTTATCACACACACAGCACGCGGTCTACAATCACACCGCGAGCAGCATTCTCAACTGAATGCTGATGATTGGTCTACCAACATGTTCAAACTAAATAGGTGTGCTTATTTAATATGAAAACATGTATATCATCTCAAAATATATAAATATATATATATATATATATATATATATATATATATATATAAATATAGACAGAACGAAAGAGCGACGAAAAGAGTAAAGGCAATGAGATTATGCAAACGAATAAATGAACAAATAATTTAAAATAGGTTGAACTGAAAAGAA